AAGAAAGAAAGAAAGAAAGAAAGAAAGAAAAACTCCACAATTTGTGATCTATGCATAGATCCGAGCTACTCAGAGGTTTGGGCAGGAGGAACGCAAGTTCAAGGTGAGTTAGGACAACTTAAGAGAACTTGTATTAAATTTTCAAAAAAATTCTGGGGATGTAGATCAGAACAAGACGCTAAGTATAATCCCCATTAACACACAGAAAGAAAATTACAGAAAAGAGAAGAAACTCATAAGCTAATATTAACCTCTACATTTATGTGTTATTGATGACCAATTCTGAAACTAGTTGCCGAGGATTCTCAGTCCATACATTGAGGAAAGGTAATGGAAGTCAGGTTTTAAGTATTGAGAGGTGATAAATTGGTTTTGGGTTGAGGAGGAGAAAGGAAGATTGAAAGGGAAAGATGAAAGAAAGAGGAATGAAGTGTGAGACCAAAGTGAACCTAAGAAACGCCATGTTGGCCTGTGAATGAACTCCCCTCATACCCCTCCCCTCATAGAGTGCTGGAATTCCCCACAAGACAGCCGCTCACTCTGCTTCTGTAAACATGCTTTATGGCTCCCCGGGAACAGATGGTGCCTGGTGCCTCCCTGTAACCTCCAAACCCTGTAGCCACAGAAGGCCCTATCTTGACAAGACAGGTGGGATGAAAAAGAACTGGGTTGTGAAAGATATTTTGCAGCTGGCTGAAGGACGTATTGGTCCCTCCCTGAACTTCTTTGTTTGAGTTACTTTAAAAGCTGTACTGTCCCCTGCTTCTGGGCTTCACTTCTCCTAGAGAGTGGAGTCCGCACGCATGAAAAAACTCCTTCTACTTTTAACTCTGTCTTTGTCCTGGTGTTTGGTGATTTCCTGGCTTGCTTGTCATAACAATTCTGGAGGCCCCAGCGAGATCACCATCACTCGATGACTTCTGTCTGGTGGACGGCCCCTGTCTCAGGCCACTGCGGCCCAAGATAGGCCTGGGGAGGCCACCCTGACCATTTGATCAGGGCCCTGGGAGCTCCGGCCCCAAGCGGAGGATTTGGGTGGTTCCAGCCATCCTAAAGGGAGTTTATCTGGAAAGCCTCTGGAGGTCAGGCAAGAATCTCATGATTCTCAGTCAGTGGATCTTACAGAGGGCAAAAAGGAAGTCGGACGTGGCGCTAATTCCCATGCCCGGGACTTCACCGGGACGGCAGGAAGTCCCCCGGTCAGTTTATCCTTTTGGTAAAGAAGGCTATAGTCTGAATATCTGTGTATCTGTTGTTTGTTGTCTGTTGGCTTGCTTTGTGTGCCTTTTGCTTTCAGTTTTGTTCTACAGCAAGCCATGGGAGCCAGACAATCTACCCCCTCCAACCCCCTTAAATGTGTTTTACAACATTGCTCTCAAATTTATACCTCAAAGAAAGCAGATGAATTCAGCATCAAGTTCTCAAAAAGAAAACTCCAGACCCTGTGTCAATCAGAGTGGCTGTCATTCGGGGTGGGATGACTGAGTGTGGGAAGTTTTAGCATTCATACTACCTGACAGGTTTGGAATCGGGTTAGGGGAAAGGGAGTGCCCCATCACCCTGATCAGTTCCCTTACACTGATGTGTGGATGGAGCCGGTGGAGGACCCCCCCTTTCCTTGTCTGTTCAAAGGTCACCCAGTCATCTAGGTTTAGTGAAAATAAGGTCTGCCGTCATTTCCTCCACTGGCAGAGTTCCTGAGAGACGGCGGATGTGTTTGTTGCTAAGCCTCTTTTAAAACATAAAGTTTTCCAGGCTCCGCAGGATGAAGATGACTTCTGACCTCGTCCAGCCCCATATCAGGCCCAGGAGGAAAGACTTGGAGAAGATCCTGACTCCCCTTCTGATTCTGCCCCCTCTAATCCCTCTGCTCCAACTGCACCGTCTGACCCTGTCTCCCCCTCATACCCAATCGGGGCAAACTTATAAGTCACAAGGGACAACTAGTCAGGTAATGTTCACAGTCCTTCCTTTAAAACAGATCGAGCCAGGTGGTGGATTTGTGTGCATTCCCTTTACTACCAGTTACCTTTATAATTGGAAAAATCAAGTTCCCCCCTTTTCAGAAAAAACCCAGGCCCTGATTCACCTCCTAGAATCTGTTTTCCATACTCATCAGCCTACCTGGGACAACTGCCAGCAGCTGCTCCACACCCTCTTCACTACAGAGGAGTGGACCGGATTTTTCAAAAGGCTGTTAAGGCGGCTCTGGGACAAACCCAGACCTTGGTCCCAGCGAGCAGAGGCCGAGGTGCCGACCCACCGACTGGACTGGGACCCCAACACTGATGCAGGTAGGAGAGACCTGGCCAGTTACCACCAGCACCTTTTACAGGGACTCTGTCAAGTGGCTAGAAAGCTGACTAATTTGACCAAGATGAGTGAGGTAAAACAGAATAAGACAGAGTCCCCCGAGGCTTTCCTGGAGCTCCTCCTAGAGGCGTATCGGGTCTATACACCTATTAACCCTGATGCTCCAGAAAACGCAGCCACGATAAATCGGGCTTTTGTGTCTCAGTCGGCCCCAGATATTAGAAAGAAACTTCAGAGATTGGAAGGATTTGAGGGAAAGAACAGGTCTGAGCTCCTGAGTATAGCACAAAAGGTTTTTAACAACCGGGACTCCCCAGAAGAGGTGGTCACCAAGCGGCTAGGAAAAGTTACTATTGCTGCTCTCAAAAACTATGAGACAAGTAAACAGACTGGGAGACCTAAGCCAGAAAGACCCCCATGGCCTAAGCTTGGAAGGGATCAATGTGCCTATTGCAAACAGACTGGACATTGGAAAAATGAGTGCCCCCTCAAAAAGGAAAAAGAGGGACAAAACCAGAAAAAGACACAGGAGGTTCTGACCTTTGAAGATATGGAATAGGAAAGTCAGGGCTCATTCAAATTGAGCCCCCATGAGCCCATGGTAAAATTAAAAAACAGGGGCACACCGACCAACTTCCTGGTAGATACTGGGGCAGCCCATTCAGTACTGACTAAACCTTTGGGAAAATTGACAACATGAGAGACTTTGGTACAGGGGGCTACCGGCAAGGATGCTCAGGGTTATAAACGGACAACTGCACGAATGGTAGACTTGGGTCACAGGCAAGCGACCCACTCTTTTCTGGTGATTCCAGAGTGTCCATACCCCTTGCTTGGTAGGGATCTGCTAAGAAAATTGGGTGCAACAATTACCTTTACAGAGGAAAAGGCAGACTTAAAACTAGGCATCCCACAGGGGACTGTCAAAGTTTTGGTGACTTGCCCATTGGCTGCTGCATACCTGATGTTCTCGGAGCCAGAGGACAAGTCAGCTGGGCTGATTGGTGGTTTACAAATGGAGTTTCCACTTGTGTGGGCTGAAACTAACCCCCCTGGTTTAGCAAGCCATCAAGTTCCTATAGTGGTCAGCCTAAAGTCCAATGCTCAGTCTATTTCTGTCCGACAGTATTCCATCATGAAAGAGGCAAAAGAAAAGATTCAGACATGTACCAACTGACTCCTAGATGCCAGCATCTTAAAGCCATGCCAATTGCCTTGGAACACTCCACTCCTGCCTGTCTGAAAGCCTAGTACTTCTGATGACAGGCCTGCCCAAGACCTCTGAGAGGTAAACAAAAGAACTGAGACTGTACACCCCACTGTGCCCAATCCCTACACCCTGCTGAGCCTCCTGCCCCTGCAACAACAAGTCTACACTGTGCTGGACCTCAAAGATGCCTTCTTCAGTCTGCCACTGGCTGAGGTCAGTCAGCCCCTTTTTGCTTTCGAATGGGTGGACCCTGAAGGAGGGTACTTGGGACAACTGACCTGGACAAGATGGCCGCAAGGGTTCAAAAATGCTCCCACCCTGTTTGATGAGGCTCTAAATAGGGACCTGGCTCAGTTCAGAGTGTCTCATCCTGAGGTGACCCTTCTCCAGTATGTAGATGACCTAATAGCGGCTGACGATCAGGACACCTGTGTGGCAGCTACTAAAAATTTGTTGAGACTGGTACAGAAACTGGGATATCAAGTGTCAGCCAAAAAGGCCCAGATTTGTGCCTCCTGGGTCACCTATCTTGGGTACAAAATTAACGGGGGCATTCGACAATTGTCCCAGAGATGGAAACAAGCTATATTACAGATCCCAACACCCTCCACAAAAAGACAGGTGCGAGAGTTCCTGGGAACTGCTGGCTACTGCTGACTCTGGATTACAGGATTTTCGGAGATCGCAAAGCCCTTATATCCAGCCACAGCCAGAGGGAACACACCCTTAGTATGGACAGAGACTGAACAGAGGGCGTTTGAGACCTTAAAACAAGCCCTTGTCCAGGCACCACCTTTGGCCCTCCCAGATATCAGAAAGCCTTTCCAATTGTTCGTGGCTGAGAAAGATGGAGTGGCAAAAGGGGTCCTTACTCAAACTTTAGGACCCTGGAAAAGGCCCATGGCTTATCTGTCCAAAAGACTTGATCCTGTGGCCACTGGCTGGCCATCTTGTCTCAGAGCCATCCCAGCTACAGACCTCCTCATAAAGGAGGCAGATAAATTAACCTTGGGTCAGGGGCTCATGATCAGCACACCACATGCAGTCTCCTCCTGCTATGAGGAGGCTTCGAGAGTTGGATATCAAATGCTACACTGACTCAATATCAGGTGCTCCTGATTGACCAGCCCCAGATCAAGTTCACAGAAGCCACTACCCTAAACCATGACTCTGCTGCTGGCTTCAGACCTGATGACTCCCTTACATGACTGCCAGGAGACCCTCCAGGACATAACTTCAGCCAGGCCTGATTTGCAGGATGTGTCCCTGGGGAACCCTGAGGAGACATTCTTCATGGATGGGAGCAGCTTCATCGAGCAGGAAGTCAGGTATGCGGGGGTGGCAGTGGTAGATGGCCAGGGAGTAACGAGATGGGCCACTGCCCTAGGCCATGAAGCTTCACCCCAACGAGCAGAGTTGATAGCCCTCACTCAAGCCTTAAACCTGGGTGAGGGAAAAGTTATTAATATCTATATGGACAGTCGGTATGCCTTTGCAACTGTACATGTTCATGGAGAGATATATAAACAATGGGGCCTACTCACGTCAGGAGGAAAGGACATCAAAAATAAACATGAGATTCTATCTTTGCTAGAAGCCGTATGGAAGCCTAAATCAGTGGTTATAATACATTGCAAGGGACATCAGAGGCCCGACACACTGGAGGCCACAGGAAACCAAAAGGGTGATCTAGCTGCTAAACTGGCTGCCAGAAAACCAGTGGGGATGGCCCCCACCCTGCTCCTTGAAGGTTTTTCTGAGCAGCTGACTAAGCCACATTACTCATCAGAGGAAGAGGAACAAAATGCCCGGGTAGGAGCTATAAAAGATAAAAATGGATGATGGAGTCATCCTGATGGCCAAGTCTGCTTGCCTCAGGCTCTTGGCCAACAGCTAATTCAATAAATACATCAGTTTACTCACCTAAAAAAAAAAGAAACTCAGACAATTGATAAGTTCCAGGTTCTTAACTCCTAAGCTGACTGCCATGGCCCAGGATGTTTGCGCTTGGTGCCAGACATGTGCCCAGGTAAATGCCAAGACAACACCCAGAGGCAAGGGAACCCGATGCCAAGGTGAGCATCCTGGGGAATTTTGGGAATTGGATTTTACTGAAGTCAAGCCCAGCCACGGATATAGGTACCCATTGTTTTGGGTAGGTACTTACTCTGGATAGGTAGAAGCCTTCCCTACTAAAGGAGAGATAGCTACAATAGTCAGTAAAAAGTTGTTACAGGAGCTCATCCCCTGATTTGGCCTCCCCCATACTCTGGGGTCCGACAATGGCCCAGCCTTCACAGCTAAGTTATCTCAATTGGTGGCCAAGGCCCTTAACATTGATTGGAAACTTCATTGTGCCTATCGGCCACAAAGTTCAGGGCAAGTGGAAAGGATGAATCGAACCTTAAAAGAAACATTAACTAAGTTTGTTTTAGAAACTGGAAGAAGCTGGCCAGACCTCCTCCCATTAGCCCTCTTGTGGGCTAGGTACACTCCTTATATAGAAAAGTTAACTCCTTATGAAATCATGTTTGGGAGACCACCTCCCTTACTGCCCAGGGTAAATTTGGAAAATGTATCAGAATGTGAGAATCCTACTCTGTTAAATTCTTTAAAAGCCCTCCAGGTAATCCAACAGAAGCTGTGAAATCGAGTTTGGGAGGCCAGGCAGGCCCCTCAACCTGATGTCATCCGCCATAAATTTCAGCCTGGAGACCTGATGCTGGTAAAGAGACATTCATCTAAGGCTCTGGAGCCACATTGGGAGGGACCTTTCCAGGTGATTTTGATGACACCATCTGCCATAAAGGTCACAGGAAAAACACCGTGGATACATCACTGCCACATCAAAACAGCTCCTGAGGACACCCCGGAGGAAAAATGGAGAGTCATCAGTCAACCAGGAGACAAAAAGTTAAGACTGGGACGGGTTGGAAATACATCCCCTTCTTGTTAATATTTTCTGGAACATTGGTAATATTACCCCTGAAACAATTGGACCATACTGGAAATGTTTGGATTCAGCTGGCAGAATCACTCAATTTGTCTGAGTTCTGTTTAAATGTAGATATAAATTTACATTATGTATTAGGGAGTTGTCTCGTCCCAGTGTGTACTCCCTTGAGTCTGATACAACCTTATACTCTGTTTAAAGACATCCCAGGAAAAAATCTTATGTATAAAGATAATTACAATTGGGGGACCCCCTCTTTCTAAACCAAAAAATGCTATTAAATTATATACACCTCAGATGATCATGTTAAACAATACACAATGTGCTGTATATAAAAATTGTACTACAAAATGTCTAAGATTTAAAAGGTTAGAAAAAATGACCTGTTGTGAGGAACAAAAAATCATATACAGTGATGGTCATGTGCCTTTACCATTAGGATGGTTTTATACTTGTGAAGGAGTAACGTTTAATTATATCCCTGCCTACTTGTCTGAGACTCGATGCTGCCTAAGTCGCTTGGCCATAATATTGCCAGATCGAACTGATTTGATAGTGGCCAAAAGAATTAAACGTTGGTCACCCTATACTGCACCAGGATGTGATGATGATGTAGGTCTCTTAACAGATGCTCAGGTGATACCTATGATAGCATCTGTGCTTGGTCAGCCCGCCATAGGAATTCATGCAGAAAAGGCAGTATGAAAATTGGCATGCAAGGTGGTCAAAGGTCTAAATGCTACCTCATCTGCCTTGGCATTAATTAATCAGGAGTTACAAGAACACCGACAGGCTATACTAGACAATAGGGCAGCAATAGATTACTTGCTCTTGTTCCATCATCAAGGATGTGAAAAAATAAAAAATATGTGTTGTTTTAATCTGACTGACAATAGCCCAGGGATTCGGGAAAAAATAAAACAATTAGAAGAATTGGCAGAGAAAATACATAATGAAAAATTAGGATGGGATCTGTTTCAATGGTTAACTCAATGGTTGCCTAATATGCAATGGTTAAAACAGCTTTTTCTTGTAGTCTTAATTGTAATCATATGTTTGTTGTTATCATGTTGCTGCATACAATGCCTACCTTACTATATGGAATGCTCTCAGCGGTTCATAGATTATTAAATTTGACTATTATGCTGCTGAATCAAATGTATAAACCCTTGCCTGAGAAAAAATGACAGAGATAAATCAAAGGTTTGATTCTGTACGAAAACCAGTTGGGAATGTGAGACCAAAGTGAACCTAAGAAACGCCATGTTGGCCTGTGAATGAACTCCCCTCATACCCTTCCCCTCATAGAGTGCTGGAATTCCCCACAAGACAGCCACTCACTCTGCTTCTGTAAACATGCTTTATGGCTCCCCGGGAACAGATGGTGCCTGGTGCCTCCCTGTAACTGCCGAAGCCTGTAGCCACAGAGTGCCCTATCTTGACAAGACAGGTGGGATGAAAAAGAACTGGGTTGTGAAAGATATTTCGCAGCTGGCTGAAGGACATATTGGTCCCTCCCTGAACTTCTTTGTTTGAGTTACTTTAAAAGCTATACTGTCCCCTGCTTCTGGGCTTCACTTTTAGAGAGTGGAGTCCACACGCATGAGAAAACTCCTTTTAGTTTTAACTCTGTCTTTGTCCTGGTGTTTGGTGATTTCCTGGCTCGCTTGGCATAACAGAAGTGGAAAGGAAAGAGCCCAGTCTAAGGTGCAGGTGATGGCGTAAAATCTCCTGTGGCTGACTGCAAACTATACCAGCTCAAAAAATACAAACATCACTCGTCAGCCCTCGCTCACCACTTCAGGTTTCTTTATTGAAGTTGTAAAGCATAGAGAAATAGACACAGAGCTAAACAGATATAGGAAGACAGGAGGGCACGTGTGTGCATCCCTCTGTGAGTGTGAGTGTACATGCATGTGTGTGCATGTGTACTCATGTGCTCTGCTCCTCCACGGTGAGCCCCAGTTGCTACTCACACTGGGAGGCACTGCACGTCTGGTCCCAGGTCTGGCTTTCCCGAGTGTTCTCCATACTAAAGCAACCCGAGTCCTTCATGAGGAGACGGGCGTCATGGCTGAGGCAGGAAAAGCACAGAAAGAGCTCAGGGTACAGACATCCAGGAGGTGCTCAGAGTGGGATGGGGCAGAGATAATGGAGAGATCTGCAGACTGAGAGAGCTCCAACAGGGACAACATAGGATAAAAATGAATTAAACCAGTAATGGATTAAAACCCATGAAATGAAAGGAAAACCCATGAGTCAGACGCTGATATGAAGAAACGAGTGAGTGAGTAAAAAGGAGAAGAGAACACATGAAAGTCCCAGCTTCTCAGAAGTTCAGCCTGGGCCATGCAGCAGGATTGCTCTCCAGGGAGAAAGATGTGCAGGGCGGGCACTGAGGGAGAGGGAGGCTAAGGAGATGGTGGAGACAGGGGGAGCCCACTCTGCAGCCTGCTCCCTGGGACTGGCCCCACCTGCTGAGTTAGGCCTCTCTCCAGCCCAGGCTGCCCAGGGGTGACCACCCCGGGAGAAAGAAATTGGGGAGCTGGGCTCGCACTGGGGTCTGGAGCAGATGCCCTGGTCTTCTGGGATCCCCAGCCAACCCCAGCCCACTAACATGGCACTGACTGTGCAGACCTGACAGCCCGACCCCATGCCCTGGGCTCTGAGGCGCAGAACAGCTCCTCCAAGGGCCAGGAGTAGCTCACATCTCCACCCCCAGGGGGCAATCCAGCCAAGTTGCCATTGGTGGGAGTCAAACCTGAGACCCACCCCTTGATCCCAGCCCAGCCCCCAAGGCTTAAACCCTCAGCACAGAGCCCCTGGGCCCTGAGCTCTCCTCACTGGCTGCTACCACCCAGCCAAGTGTACTCTTTACTTTCAAATCAATCTTTGATCTTCCTGCTGCTTTCAGTGTCCTGCTCAATTCCTTGTTGAGGACACTGAGAATCTGGACAAGACCTACAGTCTGGTACCAGTATAGTGCCCGATTTTGCAGTACCACTAAAAAGAAATGAAGAGGAATAAAATGTATGTAGAGGTGCTGGTAGCTGCACTGTTGTTATTATAGTCAAAATTTTATATTACATCGCAACTATGTTATAAAATATGCTAAAAGAGGGCTGGGGATTCAGCTCAGTGTTTCCACCACCTGCTTTGCAAGGGCAAGGTCCAGAGTTCGATCCCTGGTACCAAAAAAACAAAACAAAACAAAAATATGCTAAAAGAATTATGAAGAAAATGATATTAAAATTGAGGATGGAAATATTGAATAATATATTTATATATTTTTTGCAATATCGAGTTTTGAACCTGGGACCTCCCACATGTCAGGAAGGCTCTTTTTTTTTCTTTTTTTCAGAGACAAGGTGTTGCTTTGTAGCACAGGCTGGCCTCAAATTCATGGCAATCTTGCAGCCTCAGTCTCCCAAGTGCTGGAATCACAGGTCTGTGCCACCATGCCGGCTTGTTCAGGTAAGGTCTTTACCATGGAGCTGTGTCCTCTGTCATTTTTAGTTTGAATTTTAAGACAAGGCCTCCCTTAATTGCCTAAAATGGCACCAAACTTGGAAATCTCCTGCAATGGCCTCCTGTGTAACTGAGATTCCAGGTGTGCCCCACACATGCAGCTCTTATCTTGCTCTTCCAGAGGAGGAAGTAGAACTTGACAGGTCAAACTGCCCGTGGTCACAGCTACAGAGCGAGTGATCGGAGGGTGGCTTCGCCCCGGTCACCGTGATTCTGGGGCTGCTGCTGGGCAGAAGCAGTTTGGTTCACAATCTGCTCCTGCTCGGCATCCGGTAGCAATGGTGTCTGGGAAAGCTACGGGTGGTCAATAAAGCCCCAAAAGAACAAAGAGGAAAGGAAGCAAATGAAAACACAACCTACAGAATGGAGAAAGCATGCGCACTGAATCTACCTGGGAAGGGATTCATATTCAGAACACAGGCATGGTGGTGCAGAAGTTCTGGAATGCCAGCACTCTGGAAGGTGGGAGCAAGAGGACTGCAAGTTCAAACCAGGCCGGTGAAACTTAGCAGCATAGCCAGGCCCTGTTTCACAGTGCAATAAAAAAGGGCTGGAGATAGAACTCAGTGCAAAGACCTGGCTTCAATGCCCAGTACCACCACCAACACCGCACCCAAAAAATCAGAATATAAAAGGAACTTTCATAAGTGAACAATCAAAAAACAAATAACCATTATTAAAGAATAAGCAAAGGACTTGAATCACAAAGATATTTTTGTGAAGATATGCAAATCGGGGACAGGTACAGGAAAAACTGTTGCCATCACTAATCATTTAAAAAACAAAAAATCAACATTATAAGAAAATACAACCAACACCCATTGGGATGACCATGAGAACAAATAAAAAGGCCAAAAGAGAAAAGAAAAACAGAAAATAAAAGAGAGAGGAAGAGATGTGTTTCCTAGAATGTGGAGAGATTGGGACGCTCGTGCACTGTTGGTGGAAGTGTAAAATGGTGCAGAGAACACAGTAGAGCAGTTGGTGCAAAGGTGAAGAGCACAATGGCCTCACCATCCAATCTTCTCAGCTCTGGGTGTATGCCCAAAAGACTGAAAAGCAGAATCTGGAGGGAACATTTGCAAACGTACCTGCAAGGCATCACCTTTGACAACAGCCTAGAGGTGAAAGCAACAGATGCCCACCGAGGGGTGAATGGGCCAAGGAAACCTGGTTTGTGCAGGCGAGGGCGCAGCATGCAGCCTTAAAACGAAGGGGTCCTGCCACGTGGTGCAGCATGCGCAAAGCTGAGGACATGATTTTAAGTGAGACGGGCAAGTCACAGAGAAACCCACGACTCCACTTCTGTGAAAGATTAAATGCACAGAAACAGCGGAATGATGGCTCCAAGGGAAGGGGAAGGCGCGGGTTGCCCAGGGCTGTGGACGCGGTGGTCTGTACACTCATGGCTTCGTTTGCATCCGCCCGCCCTGGCCAGCCCCGCCCGGCCCAGGTCTGAGGATGGACAGGCCGCGGATCTGCTCGCCTCCAGGTCCCAGTCCACGCCTCCGAGCCACACGGGCCAGGGACAAGACCAC